CGCCATGCCTAAAAAAGAAAAAAGACCAACAGACAAACAATAGTACACACAACACAACATAGAAAACTAAAGACTGAGCAACACGAACCCCATCAAAACTTGGGGTGATCTCAGGTGCTCCGGAAGGGTAAGCAGATCCTGCTCGACATGTTACACCCGTCGTGTTGCTCATGTTAGTACAAACCCGGTAATAAGTCTACTTCGGTAGGTCACATTCGTGGAAAAGAGGACAGGATCATTGTAGTTACGACATTTGGAACATATCCGCTATCATCTATCATATTAAAGTAAATATCTTAGATGAACACCCACGTATATATATATAAATATATACTCTAAATATCAGCACAACAATGTTAAATCTGCAAATTGGCGGAAGCAAATTTTTGTTCTTCCCTCGCTAGGATTCGAACTCGTGCTATTGGGATATCGTGACAACACGCTTGCACTGTGTCAAGCGCTCTAGACCACTCGGCCACCTAGACTGAACTAAAATTTCAGCTTACGGTGGCCTATTGTTACCTTTCCTCGTCAGTAGAATCTAGAGTTGTAACATATATATATATAATTATGCTTGATCTTTGTAATTGCTTTTTTAGGGGCCGTGGTATTGTTTGTTTTTATTTGACTTGCGATTTTGATGCCCCGTTTGGCATCTTTTCTCTCTTTTCACAAGTAAGAATATTAGTATGACGTCATTGAAAATGATTTCTAAATGTAGAAAGAAGACGTGATTTCATATCAGCTGGTTATTACAGTAAAAAATTGAAAACAACACGTTAAATAATTTCATGCGTCCGAAGCGCATTTCTGGATTTACCTTCATCAGGAACGCTCAAAGCCAAACATTTGAAATCCGAGGATGTATAAGTACCGAAACCGTTGAAGAGCTATATGACAAAAATACCTAAAATAAATATCCAAATTCATCTAAAGTCAACTTTGCATAGGGGGTTGAAACCTTAGTTTCTTAATAATTTCAAAATTTAAAAACGGACAATTTTAGAAAAGTTTGTTAAATCATGTCAGTACCGAAGTACTGACTACTGAGCTGATGATACCCTCGGGGACTGATAGTCCACCAGCAGAGGTATCGACCCAGTGATATAAAAAATTGAAAACAACACTTTTTACAATTTCATGCGTCCGAAGCGCTTTTCTGGATTTACCTCCATCAGGAACGCTCAAAGCCAAACATTTGAAATCCGAGGATGTATAGGTACCGAAACCGTTGAAGAGCTATATGACAAAAAATACCTAAAATAAATATCCAAATTCTTCTAAAGTCAACTTTGCCTGAGGGAGTTGAAACCTTAGTTTCTAAATAATTTCAAAATTTAAAAACGGACAATTTTAGAAAAGTTTGTTAAATCATGTCAGTACCGAAGTACTGACTACTGAGTTGATTCCGAGTAACTTGAGACATTCATTGATTCAGTTTAATGTTGTTTATTTTGTTTGTTTGTTGTTATACATTGTAGAGTTTAGTGCTTTAACTCAAATGAATTTCAATGTGTGTTCATTTGTGCATCCTCTGTAAGCCCAGTGTTTCATGACTAAAAAGATAGAGGGTTGAAATATGAAATAAAAATACCAAGCAAGTTAATCTCGCCACATATTTTTGGGTCTGTCCCAAGTCATGAACCTCAACAGTGAATGTTTCGGGTCTTGTCTTAATGTGTTAATGTGTTATTTTGATATTTTAATTATTGTTCATGGGAGACCTTTCATACGAAAATAAGTATGGTTAATTTTAACAAAAATGTCTTAGTCTCGGGTCAATTTAGACCTTGTCAAATTGTCATCATTTACTAATAGTAAATTTGATCGATTTGGGTTAACGGAATAACACACGGCTATATTTTATATCATTGGAAAGAGGAGAACAAGCCTCGTCGAAATATTGATGTCGTCGTTGTCTACACGATTTTCTTAAATTTGGGTCAAAGGTCAAACCTAAAATTTCAAGGAAAACGTAGAGTCACGTTTAGACAGCTGGCCACCCCTACATATTTGCGTTTATAGCAAAAAAAAAAATCGAATAATTCAAAGGATTATAACATAGTTTCTATATTTAGCACTAATTTGATAATTTTATTGCCAAATATGGTTCGAGATTGACATTTGTATTTATAGGGTGCACATTTACAATTTTCAATCAGCTGTTAAATAACAGTGACCTTAACCCTACTAAAAGTTCCAAAATCGGAATTTTTACATAAGATTCGATACAAGTGATCTTTATAGATGTTATTTTAGATATTAACATTAATTTTTTATAAGTTGCCCTCCCAAAATGTAATATTTTCCATCTTTTGATAGAAGGTGTTCGTCATGATTTTCTGGGTAAATATCCAATTTCCTTTGGTGAACGTGGAAGCACATCAAATAGTACTTAGTTCCAAAACTGATGAATATTAACGCAGAATTGATTGAATAAGCAGGTCTGAGTATATATTTGCTTTACAGAAATAAAAAAAAAAAAAAACTGCTAACGGTGAAAAAGGGGGAGGGTTTATGTTACAAGTTTTGAAAACAAAACGAGAATTAGAAACAGCAGGCTAATCACTCCATCTTACACACTTATAGCAAGTGTAATGTATTCGACTTATCGAACATAAATTGGCCTATTGACATGAAGCTAGTTTTTACGGTAATGATGTTTATGATCATACTTTTCTCAGACTATTGATGACGTCCTTTCATAAGTTATTGTAAGGGAACACCCATTTGATTTCAAAAACAGGGAGGGAATGAGGATTTTGAAAATGAATTACTTGGCTTGGTATGAACTGAAATAATTGACTTTGCACAAGACAGGATGAGAATGAACACTCTTCAACATGAAATGCAGGATAGTTGTGAAAATAAATTTTCGCGCCGCCAGCCCCATCCCTTTCTTCAGATTATAAAATGTTCTACCCTAACGGCGAGTACTATTATATCGGTACTTTGTGTTTTTTGTCTTCATGTTAGTTGTTTTTGTACTTCATGTCGATTTGATAAGTCAAGCCATTTCAAACTGTTTTTTCAGCAGATTTTTCTTATGCTGTGTTGTTATACCATTGTCCAGGTCAGGGGAGGGTTGAAGGATCACAAACATGTTTAACCCCTCTAAATTCTGTATATGTCTGTCCAAAATCAGGAGCCTGCAATTAAGTGGTTGTCGTTGGTTGCTGTCTGTTGTATCTTGCTTTTTGTTGTTGCACGAATGGTGGTATATTTTTGTTGTCGTTCCCACCGAGAGGGATTTAGGTCGAAAACATCATACAAGACTTTTGATGTGCCATATTCCGGGTGTGAAACAAAACCGACCGATTTGATTCTTATACTACAATTATAACAAAATATTTATTCAATAAAAAGTTTAAAGTTTTGAAAAACAGATACAAAACAGATTTCTCCGAACAAAGTGACAATCTACAAAGTTAGCTGGCTATTCACAACAAATAAATCAACCACACAACAAGCAAAAAAGACAAATGTTTTGAGTGACCTCTGTCCTTGTAATGGTGTAAGCAATAAAATGATTAATGGCACGAGATAATCCGTGTTTAATCAATACCAAAATGTTGACTTAATTTGTGTTTTTAATTGCTAATTTCTTCAAAACGATTTTTATTTCAGGCATACAATTTGGCACACACATGCACTGTGTCTTATTGCTTAAATCAGAGTAAAAAATATGTTGATGATACACGTAATAATTTTGCTTTCGATGAAAATAGGGTAAATTTCGGGTAAAATTTTACTCTTACTAAAATGCTGAAATATTTATATCAAAATCACTTAAGTACTTTCCGATTTCGTTATATATAACTATATTATAGGTACTGTTTTCGTTATATATAACTATATTATAGGTACTGTTTTAACTTCCAACAAAGAACGCAATAATTTTATTTTTCATGTTAAAGACGACAATCATGATTGTAAAATATAATGATTTTCCTATAATGTGCAAAAAAATCAGCCGTGTGTTATCCGTTAACTTAAACTCGTTAACTAGAGGACTTTTTGGACATTGGGCACCCTGCTATAAAGGCAAACTCAAAGTATTTCATTCAATACTAGAAATTGAGAGCAATGCTGATAGCTTGCTGTTCGGTGTGAGCCAAGGCTCCGTGTTGAAGACCGTACTTTGACCTATAATTGTTAACTTTTTATACATTGTGACTTGGATGGAGAGTTTCTCATTGGCACTCATACCACATCTTCTTATTTATATTGACAATAATAAACATGGTTCCAAACAATGGCAGTAAAAAATTAAAAACAACACGTTTAATAATTGCATGCGTCCGAAGCGCTTTTCTGGATCTACCTTCATTAGGAACGCTCAAAGCCAAACATTTGAAATCCGAGGGATGTATAAGTACCGAAACAGTTGAAGAGCTATATGACAAAAATACTTAAAACAAATAGCCAAATCCATCTATGGTCAACTTTGCCTGAGGGAGTTGAAACCTTAGTTTCTTTATAATTTCAAAATTTATAAACGGGCAATTTTAGAAAGGTTTGTTATAAATCATGTCAGTACCGAAGTACTGACTACTGAGCTGATGATACCCTCGGGGACTGATAGTCCACCAGCAGAGGTATCGACCCAGTGATGTAAAAAATTAAAAACAACAAGTTTAATAATTGCATTCGTCCGAAGCGCTTTTCTGGATTTACCTTCACCAGGAACGCTCAAAGCCAAACATTTGAAATCCGAGGGATGTATTAGTACCGAAACAGTTGAAGAGCTATATGACAAAAATACCTAAAACAAATAGCCAAATCCATCTAAGGTCAACTTTGCCTGAGGGAGTTGAAACCTTAGTTTCTTTATAATTTCAAAATTTATAATTTAGTAATAGTTTTAGGTTCAAATACGGTTTCAATATAGGAAAATTAGATAAGAGAGGAGAACGACAAAAGGGACTACAAACTCATTAGTAAACCTTGGTGACAAAATATCCAATACAAAGCAAGTCAATAAACATAGATGTTACCATCTAATTATAAACATAGCCATTTAATCATTTTTTGCCAGCTGAACCCATTTCTGGGTTTAATGGTCCTCCATTGTTATATCTGAAAAGAGAGAAGACAAAGATTGTTCTTATTTATTGTTTTGTTAGACTGTTGTTTTCTCATACGAACATCGTCTTCAATGAGAACCTTGGCTACGGGTATTTTAGACCTTTTCATTTGCTTCAATATCTATAGTCATTTGTTTCACATGGTGGAGGTTGGCTCCATAAAATAGACTAATTCCATCGCTTTCCAATAAAAAAAACGGATGTGGTTTTTAAAATAATTGTAAATAGTTTTAGTTTGTAAAAAGATGTATCAGCTTTGTTGAGTGTTTAAAATTTGATGAAAAATGTCAACTATTGCTCTTTAGTGTGTCATAAAATGATAAATTTAAAACTGTTACGTAGGGAATAAAATAACACAATAACGTAGGGGATAAAATAACACAATAGGTTGACATTTTTGTTTTCTGTTCCGTTCTGTTTGAGATTAAGGGAGTATAGAAGACCTAAGGGAGTTTACTCTTTGAAAATCAGTTGAACGTTTTAATAACATACTATTAGTAAAGATTTATCAAGCTTCTCAATGATCAAAATTAGTGTTTGTCAAACTGCTATATATCATATGAAATTATTTCTGTAAATTGTGTGGTTCAAATTTATGTATTATATATTTGTGAACAGGTTAAAGTAAATATTTTTTCAAAGTTTTCTGAAAAATAAACGATCCAAATTTATTTTAGTCAAAATGATGGGTAACCCCTGAGGGTTGCATTTTTATTTCATACTTACTTTATGTTCGCATGGTTTGTCATATTGAAATCTATTCCAAGATAATTTTTTTTAGATTAAAAGACTTATGTTACCATTTAAAAATTATTTCCTAATGATGAAATTTAAATGTCGAAACAAATAAGTTTACCTTGCTTTAGAAAAATATTTAAAATCTCTGTCATTCTAATGTTGACTAAGAGCAGATTTTTTTAAAACAATCCTCATTATGGTTTAAATCATTTGGTTCACTAGGATTCCATTCAGTGTATGTAAAGTTCTTATACCATTTTAAAATTTTACCATGATGAAAGTTCGACATTGAACGAAAGAAATATGATTACCTTGTTTCACAAATATAGTTTTGTTTGATCGAACAATCTATGTCATTCCAATGTTGACTTCGTGCTTGAAATAAATGTAAACAATCCTCATTATGGTTTAAATCATTTGGTTCATTAGGACTCCAGTCAGTGTAGGTAAAATCTTTGCCACTGGTCATCCATTTCCAATGTCCTTCAACTTCATCTTTTCCTCCTAACCAAAAACCTGTTCATAACAAATGTTAAAATATTTTCTCCAATTTCACAATGCATTAAAATGTTCATGTATGTTTAGTTGTAAGATTTAAGCAAGAGAATTAAATAAAACAATCAAAACGGTTATATGATTAAATGATTTCGGGGTATGTCAATGAAACAGCAGCCCAATGAGACAACACCAAATATAGTGTCTGTCTGTCTGTCTGTCTGTGTCTCTGTCTGTACATATATTCATGATTGTATGGCCATTTTGATCTAAACATTTATCCAACATTTGTTTGAAATGTATTCATCAATAAATGCCCGACGGAGTGTTTGTTCGAGCCTTTCGAGACGTATGAATACGGAACCATGTCCGGTTGAATAAGAACGGTTAGTTCGGTGCCAAATGTCGGGAGCAGTCCGTTAAGAACGTCTTGCTAGGGAACATTTGTGTCCATATTGAACGAACCCTATTTTCCAGTGGCAGCCCACATGCCCCATCTTTCATTCTGATCGGCCGACGTTGCATAACCTCCACTTAACGGATTTATGTTTCATGTATTCATGTAAATATAAAAAAAAGAAGATGTGGTATGATTGCCAATGAGACAACTCTCCACAAGAGACCAAATGTCACAGAAATTAACAATTATAGGTCACCGTACGGCATTCAGCAATGAACAAAGTCCATACCGCATAGTCAGCTATAAAAGGCCCCGAAATGACAAAGGAAAAACAATTCAAACGAGAAAACTAACGGCTTAATTTATGTACAAAATGATGAACGAAAAACAAATATACTACACAGCAACAAACGACAACTACTGAATTACAGGCTCTTGACTTGGGACAGGCACATACAGAATGTGGCGGAGTTAAACTAGTTTGAAGGCGCCAACCATCCCTCTAACCTGGGACAGTGGTGTAATAGTACAACATAAGAACAAACTATAAAAGTTTTCTTGTCGAGCACTAACCACTGATCGTTTAGCCAATGGAAATCAATCAATATTTGACTGTTTGAGAGTAACTGTTCTGAGAGGTCGTCTGTTTAGTTCTTCTGTGGTGGATTAATAGCAAACACGTCCTGGTTGTATGTTGATGTTGAATCCGATGCCCGCTGCAGGTATAAGGATACTTACAATAATTATTTGAGGGCCGGAAGGTAACATATTGCTAGGCGAAAAGTCTGCCTATTTTCAACAAACCCTTTTATTCGCTGGCAATTCAAATTTCCAATTTGTCAACTCGGTCTTCCACGTTGCATTACTTACTGATTAACAATTGCTTTATGTTTTCATGTATTTTTTTGTCAATTATTAGCCACTTGACGTTAGCATACAGCAATACGAATTAGCCTATAATTGTTTTAAAATAGCAGTAGACAATTACAAATTTGATATTTGGTTTTATTCTAAGCATACTGTCCCTATAAATAGCAATTTGATAAAATGATTGATTTCAAGTTGCATGCAATTATGATATATATATATGTAGGACTCGGAACCGCGATGGTACTCCGAACCGCGATGGTCACGCTGAAGTGCGATGGTCCACGCTGAAGTGCGATGGTTAACACGCTGAAGTGCGATGGTGGCATTGTGACGTTAACTTTGTTGATAGCTACGCTGAAGTTTTTTGTCTGAGTCAGACATTTTTTTCACGCAAAGCGCTAACATTTTTTTAGTTTTTCGACGCTTTCAATCAAAATAATTATATTAAAATTTAACACTATAAGGTATTAGGAAAATCTGGATTCAGAATATTTTTTTTTGTCAGTCGTTCCCTAAGATTTGACAACAGTAGTTGCTAGCCTCGCATTTGGAAGACGTTTTAATTTCTGCTCAGGTCAAACCAAAGACTTTAAATTTTGATTTTTTTAATCTAATCTTTAAATTTGCCAATGCTCCGATTAGCACGCAATATTATGGGTTCAGAAAATAGTGTGTTCAAGGGCGAAATCAAAAAAAGATTCAGTGTGTAGGTCTATATAATAGTACTAAGCAGGGTCCATCTCATTTTATCAAATATTATGACACAACTTAGAAATTGCTCACAACAATTATTCATCCATTTATATATACCTGATGTCGGAACAGTGTCCACGAAGTAAAAAAAACCGCCAAGTACATTTATGCTTGACTAATAGCAAGACTTGTCAATTATTCTACGAAAAACTTAGCTGAGGATGATAAATTGGGAAGTACACGTAGGGACCAGTCATATTAATTTCGGCCTAACATGTTGTAGACAATTAACACTGTAACCACAATAAAATAAGACTAGAGCGACGGTGTTCTTACAAATCAGGATTTATCTCGGAAATAAAACAACATTATACTTGATATAACAAAAACATTGCTAATACTAGCAATTCAGGTTTTTTTTTATTGAATTGTCCACATAAAATCACGTGACGCTTACTTAAAGATAAATCAAAATTAATATTTAGACCAATATACTTTATGTATCTTGCAAAAAGTTTGAGGCATAATTCCTAACACTGGTAAGCCCATTTGCTGACAAAGTTCATCTTTCAGCCGCTTTGCGCCCTATGATTTGCCTCCACATGTAATGCTCAAAACTGTCCGGGACTTGAAACGTTCGTTACTTTCCTTTTCCCTTCCTTTCCTCTGTTAGCATGAAACCTTCATCTACAAAACCCTATCCTCCTGCCTGCGAATCCATTTTGTATTTGAAAACGTCACAATATTCAAATGTCATACTAAACCATCGCACCTCAGCGAAAGGACCATCGTACATGTACTTCGGCGTGGACCATCGCACTTCAGCGTCCCCATCGCACCTCCGACTCCTACATATATGAAAACAATTGTTAGCAATTTGGTCGAATTGCCCTAAGAGTCAATTGTTGGCAATTTGGTCGAATTGCCCTACGTAAAGACTCAGTGATACCAATTAAGTACAAATCATGATATAATTGATTCCAATTGATTCCAATTGGAACAATAAGTTCATTTATTTCTCAATTATTACTCAATTAAGCGTTTACAATTCATCAAATGTTTACGCTATGTGTTAAATATTAACAAATATACAACCTCTATGCGTTGGTAGCGTGACAGTTTCTAAATAATCGGACTCGTCTTTAGTTTCTACTTCAGCTAAGTAACCACCTTCAAATTCTTGGCAAATATCCTGAAAACAAACACCAAATATCTCGGACGTTTCGTAGAAATAAATCATGGGCAAATAAAATATCATATCCATTGGTGGAGGATTTGAATAGTAACAGTCCTATTACAAAAGCCTTGCATGTATTATATACAACTCAACTTGATTTTTATTATTTTTACAATCATCATTTATGCAATTTACATTTTTTAATTTAACTTATTAAAAAAGGACCTCTGAAATTTGAAATTTTTCACGTGTTTAACTTTAAAAATAAGGATTTGAGAAAAATACGGGAAACCCATACATATATTTGGCATTTTAACGAAAATTCGCAGTAAAAGTTATTTTCTCTATAATGTAAAATATTATGATCAAAACCAAAATATTTGCTGAAATAAGTTATTGTTTATAATTAGTGTTTTTCTGTTTTCCAACAAATATCTAAGGGCAGGCATATTTTGACATGACATGATTTTAACTCTTAAATAATTCTAGTCATTTTCGACACTTAGATTAAGTTTTTTCATAGACAGTTTAGTGTGCTTTACTCTCAGATCTTTACTTAGTGTCTTTTTGGTGTGGGGATGTATAAGTACCCTTCCACGTCCACTCTGTGTTTTTGTTAGATGTATTTCTATTTGTATTCATCTGATGAGTTAAGCCTTTTTCAACTGATTTTCATAGTTTGTTCTTATGTTGTACTGTTACACCACTGTCCCAGGTTAGGGGAGGGTTGGCGCCTTCAAACTTAAAAAAAGATATTGACAGTAAATAAAATCAAACCAAATAGAACTGTCAAAATATCAAGCTTCAACTTTTTCTTAGAGTATTTAGATTAAGCACTATTACATCTCATATAAAACTTCTTTACACATAATTTATACATACTCTTGCTGTTGACCAGTCGAGTTCATCGGTACTGATATAATAACACGAAGGTCCATGATGAAGCCATTTTGCAGGACAAGCAGCAAGTGATCCACCTATAAGGAAGAAAGATGTTGATTTTATACTTTTGCGTAAATAATAAGAAGATGAAATGTTTTTGATAAAATGATGAGGGTGGTTTTTAACGACCTTGACTACCCATGAGGGTCTTGTACGGTCGGTAATCTTGATAAAATGTAAATAGAAAATGACTGATAATTTACTGAAAAGTTAATAATGAATTTTATAATAAAAGATGAAATTAAAGTTACTAGTAGATAACTCTAGATATGATATCATAATTTAGTTAACTAATTTGCAGAAATATGTTAAGAAAAACTACAAACTTCTACCAGAACCTTCAATCAATCGATCAAAGGCAAATTGCAAATTGCAAACTTCCTCTTTTGTTTAACGTGACTGCTTTTTGAATCTTACAAAAAATAATTTATTTACTGATATTTTTAGTGACATATAACCATTCATAAGAATTCATTCTTACCAAGGAGTCCTAAAATTATTGTTAAATACAACATATCGAATTAGTCTGTTTCCAATGAAAATTCCGTTCCTATAATGTCAACGGTCATGCTTTATCTTTAAATAATTATAATATAAATTTCTTGCCCTACTTTTATATTGGTAATCGTACTTACCAGTCTTAGCTCAAGCATTCAGTTTTCTTCAATTTTTGAAACGAATATTTAAATGATTATTTGAAGAACATGGCAAACTGCATAATTCATTTCTCACTATGGACATTTTCAAAAAGTCCTTTAGTCTATACTAAAATTTACAGTATTATACTTCCAGATGTTTTCCAGATACAAATTAAATCATTCAATGCAAAATTTCAAAAAGACATGTAATCTTTTCAATAGGACTGATGTGAACATTTTGATATAATTATTTCTTAACCTATACTGTTCAAAAAAAGAAAACCACACCTCCCTTGAATTTAAAAAAATGCAAAATATGTATTTTACCAGGTTAAATGAAACGGTCGATTGCATCCTTGAATTTTTACAGGTAAGTTTCAAACTTTAAAAATATGTTCATTCGATTTATGTCTCTGCCGAATGAGCTCGGCTACTCGGTAAACGTGCATATCACCTTGATCGCCGCTATATTTGGCTAACGTTTATTATAAGAAATTTATGATCAATTCAACTGTTAAACTATCGCGTACATGAGAACCAAGTTTGAAGATTTAATTCATCATAACGTTTTAATGCTGCAATGCCAAGGTTGGACACTGCTACTCGAAATATCGTCATCGGCCGTTTCCAGGCCTAAGTGTCCTAAAGTGAAGTTGCAAGAAATGAACATGTTGACCAGAGCATAATTTTGCGAATGAGGAACAGATACCAGCAGACTGGCTCTACTAATGACACCCTGAGTAGTGGACAACCTCCCATAACGAATCCTAGACAAGATAACTACATCCGGGTATTTTATCTATGGAATCGAACCGTTGCCGCTACAGTCACTGCAGTTGGAATACCAGGATCGCGAAGAATCAGCTCACAAACAGTCCGAAAACGACTTCGACAACACGACGTAAGACACAGGATGGCGTATTTTCGGGCAGTTTTGACGTCGTTACACAGACACAGATTGAGGGACTGGACATTCTGCAACTGGCGAAGAATCTGGTTCAGCGATGAGTACTGTTTCCTGCTGCAGAAACGGTTTTGAAGAATTCGTGTATACCGGCGCAGGAATGAATGTTCCGCATCCTCGTATGTCCAAGAAGTAGACAGCTTCGGCGGAAGTAGTGTCATGATGTGGGCGGTTATCTCTAATGACCGTAAAACAGAAATTGGCACATGTTCCGGGTATTTTAACGGCTCAAAGGCACAGAGACGAAATTTGCTAACCTCACCTTATGCGTGTTATTGACATACAGTGGGAGTTATTCCAGCTGTACAATGCTAGGCTTCATACAGGGCGTTTAACAATGAACTACCTTGAGCAGAACAATATCAATGTACTTTTATGGCCTTCCAAATCCCCGGACTTGAATCCGAGTGAACACCTAATGGACCAACTGGATAAACGTGTGCACCAGCATGAAGCTCCGCCTAAGATCCGACAAATGTTGCAATAGGAATGGCGAACAATTCCACGCAACAACGTAAAAACATTGATAGAGTCCATGCCAAGGAGATGCAGAGCAGTGTTGGCAGCGCGAGGTGGTCATACACGGTACTAATTTTAATATGACCGGAAATATTCCTTATTGTGTTAAACTGACTTTTATTCATCAATCTCGAAGGAATTGACTGTTCTCTTTTCAATCAAAAACGATTTGAGTGAATCTTTATATGTAATTGTAAATTTTTATCCAAAATACATTCTTAAAAATCCATTATGAGTTTTTTTTGCAGAGTACATTTTCATATGAAAAAGGCGCCGACGCATTTTATTATTCTTTGGTTTTTAATGTAAAAAAAAATCCCACGTTGAACTCCTTTGTTATAAGAGACGATTCAAACAAGAACATACTAAGAAAATTTTATCTAGACATCAGTTCCTGTAATGTTGAACATATTGCACCAAATGCGTGTCTACAATTGAACTAAAAAAGACACTCTGTGTTCACATATCATGAACTTGAGCATGTAGTCTAAAAAAACTAGAAACGTCTGACCTTTGTATTTCTCTCAACGACCAGCACACAGAACGGATTTAACAATTTCTTTTTTTTCCAAGAACGGAAAGCATAAACTACAGTTTGTAGATAATAGATGCTAGTTCAATATTTTAACATTTTTTATTGCATGAACATCGGGAAGAGTATTTGAGATAAGATTGCAAAATGTTGATACCACCATTGCTTTCGATGGGTAGATACATGGTTGTTTACCTTTAATTTCAGCAGCAAATTATGCGCACATATACAGGGCGAGAACATGTTGATGCTTTATTGAACTCATCTATCCATTCGTACTTGAAACAACGGATACCACAGATACAGTAAAGACTGTTTCATATCTGTTATCTAGAAATTGACAATGACGGTCGATTGAGAACAAAAATTTGTGATAAAAAGGTTAATTTGAGCTTCCAAATCGTGAATTGTTCAGTTTTAAATTACAACATTCCAGCCGCGTCTGCATATATATCTCTCATTTGATACGATAGTCTAGAGCTTGCGTTTCCTGTCATGATATCTTGATAGAGGGTTGCAGCTTACAAGAAAGTTATTGAACTAAGGGTTCCAAAGAATAAAGTTGATGTCGTCCCTTCGAAAATTTTACGAAAGCCTTCACGAGTTGGTTGGCTGTTATAGAATATCTATGTCATAGACGACCACGGATATGTTGGACACACAAAATGGTTTTTGTTTTCTTTGATTGTGACCATAAAATAAAATGTATCACCGAACTTAAAAAAAAATTAAAAAAGAATAAACTTAAACTTCTGTGGTTTACATGTTGTAATGTACTATTATATTATTTATTTATGTAGTTCTCTGTCCTGAGTGTTCTTGCGTTTATTTGTACTGTATTCCTGTCACGTAATGTTGCCATTTTAGCGGTATTTTTAACATTGCCATATAAGCAGGAGTTTTACCTAGCCATAAAACCAAGTTCAACCCACCCTTTTTTCTTAAAATGTCCTGTACCAAGTCAAGAGTATGGCAGTTGTTATCAAATAGTCCGTTTCTATGTATGTTTGTTTTTGTAGCAGTTCAGTGTTTCTGTTGTTCCGTTGTTTTCCTCTTATAGTTGATGTATTTCCCTCGGTTTTGGTTTGTGACCCCTGATTTGTTTTCGCTCAATCGATTTATGACTATTGAACAGCGATACACTACTGTTGCCTTTATTTAACATGAGTAACACGACGAGTGTCACTAGTGGATCTGCTTACCATTTTGGAGCATCTGAGAACATCCCAGTTTTTAGTTGGGTTCGTGTTACCGAGTCGTAAGTTTTATATGTAGTGTATTGTGTCATCGTCTTTAGTTTGATTTTGCAATGGTGTTGTCATTTTCTTTCTGACTTTTTTGATTTTTGAATTCCTTTTGACTGTCCCCTTAGTATCTTCTTTCTCTTTTATTGTGAAGTAGATATTGACCCGGTTCCGTACTTTGTGATAACGTTAAACCAAATTATCATTGACTGTCATAGGTCTTATATAAATGCATTAACCCCGCCGCATTTTTTGCGCCTGTCCCAAGTCAGGAGCCTCAGGCCTTTGTTAGTCTTGTATCATTTTTAATTTTAGTTTCTTGTGTATAATTTGGAGTTTAGTATGACGTCCATTATCACTGAACTAGTATACATATTTGTTTAGGGGCCAGCTGAAGGACGCCTCCGGGTGCGGAAGTATCTCGCTGCATTGAAGACCCATTGGTGGCCTTCGGCTGTTGTCTGCTCTATGGTCGGGTTGTTGTCTCTTTGACATGTACATTCCCCATTTCCATTTCTCAATTTTATGTTTTTTTTGTTTGTTATTTGAAGAATAAAGTGTTCATGTGAGATATTTAATAAATTTATAAGATCTGTTTAATTTGATCGCAACTTTCTTAGACTTAGGTCAACTTAAATTGTATTGATACCTTTTCATTGACGAAAACTCGATGTTGACATCTATATTTTATTGAGTTATTCAAATTGTAGATCGTATTCAAGAATGCCCGCAGTTACTGAAGGTAAGCTCAAAGTACTTCACATGTTGATAAGAAACCATGCATATTTGAGAGTAAGGTAGACAATATGATACGAACGTCCCAACAACAAATATCTCTAAAACGATAGTTTCAATTCACAATTCGGAATCAATATTAGAAATTAAGATAAAATATCCAATACCAATAAACCTTTAGTTAGATATTATCATTTAGTTATAACCACGACCATTCGTTCATTTTTTGCCAGCTGAACCAATATCTGGGTTTAATGGTCCTTCACTTTTAAATCTGCAAAGAGAGAAAGCATAGATTGTTCTGATTTAGTGTTTTGTTGGTCAATTGTTTTTTTTATACAAACACCTTCTTTAAATCTCAGGAAAATGTGCCATAGAAAATTTTTTTTTTATATGAGCAGATTTGTTTCATTTCAGAAGTAGATGTTATTTTATTTATATTCCACATGTAAAAACAGTAATGAAATGTTGTAAAAGAAAGGGAATCTAACTCAGACGGTTTAATTTCATTATATAGATTGTACTGCAAACCAACCTGTGGAATAATATATCAAGACATCAAAAAGGTCGATGACATTCTCTCATGTTTCCCTTCACAAAACGTAAAGAGAACCGTCTCATCAAATTATACTTTTAAAGGTTATTGTCATTCTGTTCTTTTCATATTACATATCAGGTGTTTCCCCCCAAATATGACCCTCACAAAATAACAGTATTTTACACATCATGTGTCTGAAACTTTCTCGATGACGAATTTCGAATGTATATGTATATATTTATTATTTGAAATAGAACGATAAGTGTTGTTCTAACGTACCGAAAACCAGCCCTTCCTGACGTTAC